TATATAATTGTCATGTCATAAAAAAATTAAAAGAAAATGTCAAATGAAATTATTTAATTGTCACGTCATATTTAACTGATGAAATGATTAAAATTGTGTAATTTTTAGAGTTAAAAGATAAAAAATGAAAAAAAAATAATTTAAGACAAAAAAAGTGCAAACTTATAAAGTTAAGGAATCAAATTTAATATTTAACCTTTTTTTTTTAATTTTTCACGCGGGAGAGGGTGACATGGAGGATGTCATTAAGTCCATGTAAGCATCTTTGACATGTTGGCATATCCACATCAGCCGTTACAGTTAAGTTAACGTGCCACGTGAGCAAAAATTAATGGAATGACTAAAAAGGGGTCGGATTTGTGAACAGTAAGAACAAAAAAGGGGATTTTTTCAATATAAAGACTAAAAATGGACTTTTTCCTATAGTAAAGGGACCAAAAAGGGTATTTAACCTTCTAAATTTAACTAATAAGATAATATTTGTTTTGCAATGAATTCAGCCCTAGGAGCTCTTCTTGTTTTTCAATGATTTAGGTTAGGAAATTTGAACCCAAAGATTCAGTATCAGTTTCACCTTCAGCCACCTAACCAAATGTCACCTACTTTGAGGTACCAAAAAAAAAAAATGTCACCAACTTTGAATTTCATTTATAAAAGAAAAAAATATTTTATGTTTTACCGATTAGATTATGATAAATTATAAAATACTAGTCATTATTGGATTTGGATTTTGATTTTGATTTTTTGACGGACCCTCCTTATTTTCTACTAATAGCTTTGTTTAGAAAGTCAGAAAGATCTCAAATCCATCTAAATCATTAAGATTATCAACATCTCTACCTTCTTTATTTATTTGGTTTATTTGTTTTTACGCAGACGGATACAGTTGCATCGCATCCCATGATTCCCATCCCATGTTTACAACTTTATAAAACAGGTACTTTTTGTTCTATTTGTCAATTTTTTTTTTTATGTTCAATTTATTTACTCCAATACAAACATAATTCTGTATTATATTTACAATATTTTTTTTGACAATTGGTATGAAAGCCATTAGTATTTATTTGATAAAAAAAAATCACCATTTTAAAACATAATTGTGATACAAACACCCTGTAATTACCAAAAACAGAGCCGTAAAATAGGTTTTTATTTGGTTAAAACTTTAATTTGGTCTTTCTATTTTGACAAAAAAAAAATTTTTTAGTCTTTTTTTTAGTCCATCCACTTAAAAAGCTCTTTTTTTGTTCATAAAATTTGAAATCTAATTCTTTTTTAACCTCTGCGTTAAGTGTTGACATTAAAGAATAAAAATTTTAAATGAGAGATTAAAAAAAAACTTTTTTTTAAATAGGGAGACCAAATTAAAATTATTTTTAGTCATTTTTAGTTATTTTTTTATTTATCAACTTTAAAATTTTCATAATTTAACATGTCATATATGTTAATTTGTTAATTTGTTAAAAAGTTAGTAGAGTTAATTTGTTAGCAG